CGCAAACTTCTCTATACACTTTCTTTAATAAATTTTAAAATCCAGTTAATATACACAAACTATATTCCATTTAAGTTTTATTTATTAAGTCAAGCAAAAAAAAACTTTATTATGGCTCTCAAAATTCCACGTGTTATTTGTACTAAGCTTATATCAAAAGAGTTTTCTCTCAGTGTACCGCACAACCTGAGGGATTCTTATGTGAAAAAAATCTATATAATGTGGTCCGTATATGGGCCTTCTGCCTCAACCACTTTTTCTCAATATTTTAAAAATCACGTCAAACACTTTAATAAAGGTGGCGCGGTATAGAACGTAAAACTGTAGAAAAACTCAGAAAAAATTTGTAGAAAGTATTTATTTAATTTATACAACTACAAAGAAGCTATACAAAATTCAAGAATTGAGGTTGTCGAAACTTCGACGACTTAGTTTGATTTTTGCTCACAACACAAAACAAAAAACACCTTTTCGTAACGGACTCTGAGTTCCGCAATTCGTGCCACAATTTCACTTTTTTTTATATAAAAACACAACGGTGTGTGGATACGGTATTCCAAAAGAATTCCCGTTATTCTTCCACCACTTTACCGGTCGAATTTCGCGAAAAACGTTTTATACGTACTTCGATACCGTTTATTTACGGAAATATGTTTTTTTTTTAATATATGTATGTATATATAAGGGGTGTATATGGTAGTCACGCACGGCCTTATGCAATTTCCTCACCTTACCTTATCTTGCAGCTTACTCTGTTGGCCACTAATGGGGCTGTTTTCCCGCGGTGGGCCACTTGTTGTTGCGAACTTGCTATCGCGGTGGACCTCTTGGTGGGGGCCTTGTTGTCGCGAACTTGCTATCGCGGTGGACCACTTGGTGGGGGCCTTGTTGTCGCGAACTTGCTTTCGCGGTGGACCACTTGGTGGGGGCCTTGCTGCTGCGAACTTGCTATCGCGGTGGACCACTTGGTGGGGCCTTGTTGTTGCGAACTTGCTATCGCGGTGGACCACTTGGTGGGGGCCTTGTTGTGTTTGTAGTTGCAGTTGCTGCTGGTGGAGCGCTGGCAAATTTTTGGTTACAGTTGCTGCTGCTGGAGCGCTGGCAAACTTTTGGTTGCAGTTGCTGCTGCTTTGGGTTTTGCAACTGCCTCAACACTTGTTAGCTGCTTCGTTTCTACAAATAAACCCAATTAGTATTACAAATCTACTTACTACTTCAGATACTTAGTATGCAGCCGCTCGTTCAAAATTTATTTTGCTGGTGGTACTCCAGTCGGTGGGGCCACTTGACGCCCTTTGCTCCACTCCAGCTCCAAATGGTTGGAAAACCACTCCAACGAGATTTATGGCAACTTACCGGGGCTTTTAAGGTTGCTTTTGACACTGTTTTGCTTGTATTTACCCACAAGCACAAGGGAAAAATGCGTTTTAGCAACGTTTGCTAATTAGTGGGGTTGTACGTATTTCACGCGTAAAATGAAATAATTTTCGGCAAGAAACGTATTACTTGCGCATTTTCCCAAAAGAAAACACAAAAAAACACGCGTTTTCGCAAAGAGGTCGCTTAAAATTTATTTCTTGGTTATTTTTATTTTAGTTTTTTTTGGGTGCGTTCGGAAACGTCAAATTGGTGGGGAATTCACCAAGGAATGTAATAAAAAACAAAAGTTGGTGGCGGGTTTCACCAATGAATGCAATATAACAAACTTTAAGATATGTTTAATTGCACACGATTCGACGTCTAAAAGAAAATAAAAAACGTGTTAACGGGGGGCGCGATAAAAATTCTCCTTTATGAAAGCAACTTGGCAGTTCATCAAAAAATGTTTATATTTGAAAATTGTTCGAATTCTTCACTTTTATTTTATTTTTAAGCAAATGTGGGTCAACCACGAAAAACTTCAAGCCAATCCGGCTCGAAGGACCATGTTCGGGACGGGGTGAAATGGGGGCCGGGAATTCCTCTTGAATTCCGCGGCAAACGAGGGTCGAGGAGGTGCCGAATCCCTAAAGTCCTTCGAGGTTGAATTAAACCGCAAAAAATTCGCTCAAAAATGAAATGAAACACTTCACACTTTTCACTATTATATGTATATATATAAGTGCCTAACGGCCACTTTATTATACATATATATGTGTATATAAAAAAATGCTGTAATAAAAATATATACAATGTAGGAGTTTTTAGAGGACCTTACTTGTTTTCTCGGAGTTTTCTTCCAAAAAAGCAGAGTGTTGGGTGATCGCAGAAGGCGAAACCCAACATCCGAGGCGAGTAACAGGACTCGAGAAAAAGGAACTCGAGTAACGAGTAACTCTTCCCGCTTAGATCACAGCGACATCTACAAGTGAAATTCTCTAACCAATAAACATACTTAAGGTGAAGGGGGCTAGCGTAAACACCAATCCTCACCAAACTCTCCTTGCTTAGGGTCTAGCTTAGATCTGTTGAAAATCTTTGAAATCGGGCAATAGCCACGCCCACCTACCTTATAACGGTAATTTACAGAAACACGAAAACTGCGACAAATCAGTAACTAGTGCAGCTAACTCACATAAAATCAATAACCACTTAGCAGAAAATTATGTTATACATTTTTGGATAAAGGGCGTAGCGGGGCCACTTATGACCACAAATGTGAATTTCGGTAACCGATTTATAAATTTCCACCAAACTCGGTGCACTTAATAGCCTTAGTACGGAAAAGCAACTCGTTGAAAAATATTCAAATCGGACGAAAATTACACCCGCCTCCCGTATAACGGTAAATTTCAAAAATACGAAAACACCGATATTTCAATAACTGTGGACGCTAATTTACTGCAAGTTGATATTTACTACAATCTGTTAATAATAAATAAGTCTATAGACTTTTTGGTACAAGGTGTATTGCGGTAACCACTTTATCGATATCTACCGAACTTGGTTCAATTATATNGATATAAATTAATGGTGTTAACTAGTCTTTCGTTTCTTGCGATTTATTTAAATAAAGCATGTGAATTCTCACTAAAACATTTTAGCCGTTTTTTGCCAGAGTCTATATGAAATTTCACTAAAACATTTTAGCCGTTTTTAGCCGCTTTTTTTGCCAATCTAGCCGGTCGGCCCAAAAAGTTCTGGCAACACTGATTATATCATTAAGGCCCTGTTCGCGTACGCACTATCCAGTAAAATCCAGTACTAATTTAACTGGTTTTTACTGGAAGGCGTTTTCGTACGGAAAAACTTGCAAGAAACCAGCAAAAGAGAGAGAATTGAGAGAGCAAAAATGAGAGCTGAACTTACAAGTTTTACTGCATTTTTACTGAATAAATTTTTACTAGTAACTATCCGCTAGTAAGAAAAATAGCTGATGGCATGATGCTTATTGCAATTCACATTACCAAAAGAATTGTTTGTGGTGCTTTTAGTGTTGCAATTGACAAAATAACCCTATTTAAATATATATTAAGATGGGAAATACAATTTTTCTTGGAAAATTGCGACGAAAAAAAAAATTAATCATCTGTCCATAAAACTTGCAACTTCTTGCTGGTTTTGCGTTTTCGTACATTCTTGAATGTTTCTCTCATTGGGAGTAAATATTGGCTTATACTATGTCTCCATTGAGAGATTTATCCATTAAGATTTAATAAATCCAGTTGATAAATCACAACCGTCTCCATTACCACAACGAGATATGTTTGACGTTCACATTTTTAAATATTTGACGTTTGCTTATGTATGATTTTATAAATACAGTTGCGGACATTGATATACAGACAGATAAAAGGAAGGTACCAAACGGAATTTCATTATATGAATTCTGAATATTATTGGCTTCTTATTCGTGGTGAATATGTATGTATAATATATAGTTTGGAAAGTGGAAAGAATGGTACCATATTCCGAATCATTTTCCCGAATTTAAGAAAAATTATCAAAACGGTAAAAAACATTTGCGGAAAGAAAGATTTGTGTAGAAATCTCTTATTCATAGGAGGGAACCGAAAATCCAATCGTGGGCCTTGGGCATATCATGAATACGAACTGAGTTCTAGAGGATGTTCGGTGCAATGTTATCGAAGCAGAACCATTACCGAAATTTATAAATTTTTTGTCGCAGCGCGTAAATGACTTATAGAAAGCGGAGAAGACTCTGCATGATATTACTATAAAACATTTCTTCTAAATTTTTAGTTTTTAAAATAATATTTTCTTAATTTATTACAACCAAAGTTATGTAAATATGTATTACTAATTTTCCTCCCAAACGAACAAAAGTATAAAAATCCCTAAAAATACGAAAATTCATGTTTTTATTATAGGCTAGATTTCAATGTCCTCAACTGTATACTGAAAACACAAATGTCATTTGACTTATGGCATGTGAATTTGTGGTTGCCACATCCAACAAATTGTACTTATTGATCAATATTATTGAAGATTTGACGAAGATTTAACTTAAATCTACTGCCTTTCGAGATTTAATTTTATATGGTAAATCTCAAAAGGTTTAACGTCAAATCTCGTCAGAGGGCTAAATCTTCATTAAATCTCACAATGGAGACATAGTATTACTCTCCGAAATTTTGTTACTGGCAAGTTACTGGATATTTTTGCTGGAGAATACGAAAACACAACTTAAGTATAACTGAGCATATTATCGAAAACGTTTGAAATCGGGAAAAATACCTCAGTTATTCCTGCAAAGGTACTAGTTTAGAGAAAATTAAAACGAGGATATTTGATATCTTCGCCGGGTATATAAAGTTCGGTTTGGCCCGAACTAATACTTCTTAATTTCTTAATATTTGAAATCTTAAATATTGTGGAAATACCCAGAATCTACTTTTTTTACCTTTTTATATGCATCATTTATGTGTAACGCTTGAGTTTCTTGTTTCATAGGAATGATCAAGCGGCACTGCTATTATTTTGAACATAGCTGTATTTACTTGTAGAAAAACCTATTAAGAAAATGTGAATATGTATATATTAATAAATGTTTTATTTAGGATGTACCAAAAAGTGCTGTTGGTATTCTTAAACAACAAAAAACTACCGAACAACTTCAGTCTCTGGCATCAGATTTAGTCAAAGAACGAAGAGATTTAGAAAACGAACGTAACCGCCAAGATCGAATGGGCACCGCAATTACCCATAACATGCACACCGAATGTCAGGAGTTGCTGAAGCTTTTTGGTGTCCCCTATATTATAGCGCCAATGGAGGCCGAAGCACAGTGTGCCTTCCTAGAATCAGTAAACTTAACGAATGGCACGATTACTGATGACAGTGACATCTGGCTATTCGGAGGTAGAACAGTATATAAGAACTTCTTTGAGCAAAATAAACACGTTTTGAAGTTTGAAGCCGATAAAATTAGACACACCTTTAACTGCGATCGCGAGCAATTGATACAACTAGCTTGCCTTGTAGGCAGTGACTATACAACAGGTAGGAGAATTATATAGTTGCATTTTTCGAATTCCTAAAAAATATATATTTACTGCTGATTTAAGGGATACATGGAATAGGTACTGTTACAGCATTGGAAATCTTAGCAACATTCTCATTGAAATCAAAAAATTCACAAGAATCGTGTACCAGAAATGACACCACAACTGATGCTGTTCTTTCTACGTTATACCGTTTTCGAGACTGGTTAAAAGTACATAAGAATTTATGCCAGCCTGTTGGTAGCTCCACATGTCTTAAGCTTAGAAAAAAGTTGAATAACATCGAATTAAATGAAGGATTTCCTAGTCCTGCAGTAAGCTTATTAAAAATTTAAAACATTTTACAATAACGTAATATACGTAATAATTAACGTTACGCCCAAATTTTAGGTTGTTGAAGCCTATTTGTTTCCGAAAGTTGATGATAGTAAAGCCGCGTTCCAGTGGGGTTATCCCGATGTTGACTCTTTATACGCTTTTACAAAAAGAGTATTCGGCTGGACAGCAAAAAAAACGGATTCAGTACTTAAACCCGTGTTAAAAAGAATGAACGATAAGCAAACGCAAGCTAGTATTCGAAATTATTTTACGATAAAGAGTGCCCTTAAGCCTCGAGAATTAAAGATAAGTAAACGTGTTCAGAAAGCTATCGATACTATGGCTAGTGCGGCAGATACATCTGACATCATCGACATCAAACCTGCAAAACGAAGCCGTCGAACCAAAAAACAAAATGATGCTTCGAAAACACAGCAACAATTGGAGCTGGATTCAAATGGCCCTGATGCAATGACAAATATAGTGGTAGATATTCCAAGCACAAGTGCCTCATGTTTGGCTCACAAAATGAGTAAAAGTACACCGAGACTTCTTGAAACCAAAGAAGTTATCCCACAGCGCGAAAAAGATATTCAGAAGATGCGTCAAAGAAAACAAAAGGCAGCAGCTGTATTAAGAAAATCTAGGGCTCTGGCCTCCATTACTACTGGCATAGAGGAGAGGCGTGCAAATTAATAATCGCTTATTTGTAATACAGATGTTGTTTATTAAATGAATGCGGAAATATTATCTTACTGTTTAATACATAACTGTTGAAGACATGAACTACATACCCACATTCATATGGCATTGCATCCTTTAATTTTTCCAAACATGGCAACATTGGCAATCAACGATTGGCGGCTCAGTTACTAACCACCGAAGCAAGGCTGAGCCACTCGCTCATCAGCCGCCAAAGCAAACGCGTCACATAAACAACCATTGTTTAATAAATTGAATACAGTTTGTGAACTGCGTCTATTATTGTAAATAAACTTATGATACATACTGAAAGTATACCAAGCAGAAACTGTGTCTCATTAATACCCGAAACCTAAACATGGTCCTTCGGCGCCATTCAAACGAGCCGGCACCGAATAAATTTTCGTATTAAATCAATGCTTTGGCGGCCCAAAAGTTTATTTTCTCATTCCGTGCGATTATTAAAGAAACTTGCGTATGTGCAGTGCATAATCAGCGCTTAAGAACAACATAAAAAAAAACAATATTCCCAACTACTCGCAAAATAAAAGTGACAGGAAATCAAAAACAAATCCCAGAATCTATACTGGAAATATATTTGGTGCACCTAAATAAGAAAATAAATTTACAACAAAATATAAACGAAGTCACCAGAGCTGGGTAAATGCAATTACATTACAATTACAATTACATTCCTCAGTAATTGTAATTAGGATTCAATTCCTTTAGTTCACTGCAAAGGAATCGATTACTTTTTCAATTCCTTGAAGTAATTTCAAATGGAATTGTTTTTTTCTTTAATTCCATTACAAGGAATTTCATATTGTAATTGGAATAAATTACGTGCTAGTAATGTAATTTCTTTTATTTCAATTCCTTTGAAAGGAATTGAAAATGTAATTTTTTTTCCAATTCCTTTGAAAGGAATTGAAAATGTAATTGATTTTTTTTCCAATTCCATTCCTCAAAGTAATTTAAAAAGTAATCGAAAAATTTATAAAAAAAAATTTTTTACTGTTGAATTGCAATAGCTTTGTTAAATTTCCTGCTAGTATTTCATACAAAAAATTATTGCACTTTCACTTAACCCTTGCAAACTTGTTTATTTATCCATCGATTTTCATCGGTAGTAGTGTTTTAACCCGCAAAACAAGCAGAGTTTGGCTAGTCTATACTAATATATATTTTGAAAGGCGTTTTTTTCTGTTCGCAAAGCTCGAGAAAGGCCGTACCGATTTTTTTGAAATTCCGGATTCTACTGCAGGCTTTCCAAGGATGGTTATAGCTAAAAAAAGTTTCGATATAGAAAGGGGGCGTGGCACCTCCCATACAAAACGAATTTTTCAAACTGCATATATTTGTGGTAGAGGACTAGAACTGGGTATGGTGATATCTATATACATATATAAGACCAATTCCATACTCATGGAGAAAAATTTGCATGGTTGGAGAATGGCGTGTGGCACCTCCCATATAAACCGAACTTTTCATATTGCATATTTCTGGAAGTGTTCATGGTAGACTGTAAGCCTTTTTAAAACTCTTTAGTTTGACACCCACATGCCAACATTGCATTTACTTTATCAATTTAACTGAGTTACAATTTCCAAATATTTCCAACAGTTATCTTTCTCAAACCTTTTTAATTTGATACCCATATTGTAATATTTTATTTATTTTATCAATGTAATTTAGTTAAATTTTCAAACAGATGGCAACCCTCCTCAAACATATTTTCGGCAGTAAGCCTTCTTAAAACTCTTTAGTTTGACACCCACATGGCAATATTTCATTTTTTTTAACAATTTGACTGAGTTTAAATTTTCAAATAGGAGGCCACCCTCGTCAAAAATACTTCCAGCAGTTATCTTTCTTAAACCCTTTTTAACTTAATACCCATATTGTAATAATTCATTGATTTTAAATTAATTAAATTTTAAAATAGGTGGCAACCCACCAAATTTTTGCGATATCATTGGTTCTGGTATTATACCGAATAATAAAAAAAATATTATTCAAATCGGTTCAGCCGTTCTCGGGTTTTGATGACCGTGACATACGAACACAACATTTTTATATATATATAGATATACATAGAAGATGTCCAATGTGTGCTTTCGATTTTAATCTTTGACCACAACAAAAATTCCACATTGTATATTCGTGAATGAACTTTCAGTTTCCCGATTACTTTTACAATTCCTTTGAGTAATTGGAAAAACTAAAGTACTCTTGCAATTCCAGGTAATGGAATTGAAAAAAAATCAATTACATTTTCAATTCCTTTCAAAGGAATTGGAAAAAAAATTACATTACTAGCACGTAATTTATTCCAATTACAATATGAAATTCCTTGTAATGGAATTAAAGAAAAACCCAATTACATTTGAAATTACTTCAAGGAATTGAAAAAGTAATCGATTCCTTTGCTGTGGACGGAAGGAATTGATTCCTAATTACAATTCCTTGTAATCTGTAATTGGGAGTAATTTAATTCCTAAAGGAATCATTACGACCCAGCTCTGGAAGTCACCCACAAAAAAAAACAACAGCACGAATAAACCTAATCTAATAAAGAAAAAAAGCGTTGTAATAGCTGGACAGCAGATCAGCAGCAGAGAGATCGCTTAACAACATCGATACCAACAAGCAGAGGGAGCACCAAACAACAAGACGATAAGTACCCACACCCCTATATATACAGATATATAAGCTTATCAAATGTATATGCATGTACATACGTACATATCTATAGAAGAACAAATCCCATTACACTCATTAGATGTCCGAGCTAACATTCCAAGCCGGTCATTAACCCCAACAGCTGTGTCTCCAGCAACGTGTGTCATCCCTTTGGTACATACAGACATACGTACGCAAATCTGCCGCTCAACATTATTTCCACATATAACGCAGTTTTATAAATATGTAAGTTATAAGTAATAACATAACTTTGGGCTGCTCCAGTAAATACGCTTTGAGACAGTCATCCCGCTCATTTTTGTTTATTTGGATCTCATATTCTTCTGCTATCCCAGCATAATCCAGTTCAATAACTATCAACTGCACTCTCTATGCAGTTGCTAATTTCAACCCCCACATTCGTACATATTTATACATGCATAAACATATGTATATAGAATATTTCTTTTGCGCGCAATTGCAGTAATTTTTTTGTTTATGCCATTTCCTTTTCATGCGATTACCTCAATCTCACGATCATACGCAACGCATATGCATATACCTACATATATTCGGCATATACATAAATACCCACCTACCCTCTCGCTATCCCATTGCAGCATAATTTACGTTTGACTTATTACACCAAATTTGCAAGCGTACAAATAGACATACGCATATACACACAAGAGCACAACAGTGTGTTTGTTAAAGCCAAAAGCCTTCAACAGTTGGGAAACACTGGCTTGCTTTTCGGCTCTGTGGTATGCTGCAAAGAGACAAACTACCGAAAAGCAACCGGTGTTTCCGTTACGATATTGTATGCTTATATAAGTATGTAACTCAGATTTTTGAGGGCAGTTTAGTTGATCAGTTACGTTGACATCAGTCATTCGCGCTTCAGACCGTTCTACCTAGGCAGCAGCAACCTACGCACTTTGATGTACTTTCTTGTAACCGCCCTGAGAATAAAGTAAAATTAGTCTTTTTACTAATATAACCGTTTTACGTCTTTTATTCCTACCTTTTATAAACGTCATATTTGTTGCGAGTTTGCACCGGCGTACAAAGGAGGGTTGCCACTCAGAGATTTGGTCCAACGAGCCGTCGAACTCTGTCAACAAGCAATTTTATCATCCACATATGTATTTCCTTTTTTACATACATCAAATCAAAGTGCGTGTGAAATATTGGTTGAGCAAGTAGTGATTTCAATAAAATAGTGAGAAAAAAACCAGAGTAAATAGTGCGTCAAAAGTCGATATTTATTTCACGAGTGCTTAGGGCTGATTATTCGGGCGTTTTTAAAAATATCTGTAAAACCTAATTTATATATAAAAAGGTATGTGTAAGGGAAATTACTACACAAAGTGAAAAAGAAAATAGCACGGACGTATGTATGCACGAGAACAGAAAACTGGAGAGTGGAAGCTTTCATTTACAAAAAGTGAGTTTTTTCGTAATTCGTCTGAATATTTGTTTCCCATATACTCTCATGACATTCAACTTTCATTTCTTATTTAAATTCAAAAGTGATTATTTCCGAGTTATACAATTTTTGAAGTTATCTAAATTCCCCGCCAATTTCACTTTCTTCAATATATGATTTTGTACATATATGTATGTATGTATAGATGTAGTAATATTACCAATTTGTTCTCACAAAACATTTTTTGGTATTAGTATAGTTTTTAGCTCTTTTGTGCTCATGTACATAATACGTACGTACATAAGTACATATGTGCAATACATAAATAACTAGATAATTGCTCATAAATAGCATACGAGAACGTACATACTTCCAATTTATTCCAGTCTCTCATTATTTTGTTTCGCACATACATATTAACTTACATACCCGAGCTAAGGTCTTGCACTCGACATTGGATGATCTTCAAATTTGATCAGGTAGAAAATATATGAAAGTGCGCAAGCATATGCATATGTGTGTTTATGTGTATTTACAATATTGAATATAAGTCCATCCCAGTAGAACTTGGGAGCATCGTACGATTGCTCGGTGAGTACTCCCTTGGGAGTATACGAATACTCCCCATTGCTCCCTATGCTTCTGTGTATAAGCATGTAATTTTGTATACTCCCTTTAACATTGGATGTCCTAGGAGGGGGAGTAATCCCTTTTACCTCCTAAACGAGCAATCGGGGAGCACACACAGAAGTATCATCCCACAAACCTTCTAATGGAGCTATACGGGAGTACTCCCATAGTTACCTCCCAGAAATCTCCCAAAAAGACAACAAGGGAGTGCACATAGAAAACATCCCATATACCTCCCGAACGAGCAATAAGAGAGTGCTCCCATTAGAGGCATCCCGAAAGCCTCCTATAGGAGTAATAAGAGAGAAATGATAACGAACATTTTAAATTAGCCAAATAGATTTTGCTATTTATTAACCCGGGGGTTCTTAAATGCAAACACTAATTTGCGCAATCTGAAAGGTATTTAACGGTATATTTGTAAGTAATACAATGCTTAAAATATTTAAACAAAAGTTGAGGTACATACCAACGGACTTTTATTAAAATCTGTGTGCTATCCAAATTAGATTATTGTGTCCTCCTTATGCGCCTATAAGAAATATTTTCTGTTGTTTTTTTTTTCTATGATAAATTTTTTCGAAAACACAAAATTTCTTTTGAACGAGGTGCGTATTGCTCTCCTATCAATCAAAAAGAAGACTCTTGGATTTCTCGCTTAGGAGACATCACTTTTTAATCCTAAACGAGTAATAACGGAGTACAAAACCAACAAATCTCGCTTATTGCTCCCAAATCATGCATCAGAGAGCATTCTTTAATTGCTCGCTTAGGATATCTCTCATTACGCCCCTAAGCGAGCAATAAAGGAGGACAAAACCGACAAATCTCGTTTATTGCTCCCAAATCATGCCTCGGGGAGTATTATTTCGTCGCTCGCTTAGGAGATCTCCTATTTGATTCCTAAACGAGTAATAAAGGACAAATCTCCCTTATTGCTCAGAAATCAGGTTAAGGGGAGTACTCTTTTATTCCTCACATAGGGAGATCTCCCTTCAGGTTCTAGTGGGATATTACATATCAACATTTGTTCAATTTTTTATGTGCCTTTTTCGTGGTCGTTGACCTAATACAAAACTGACCTACCTCAATAGTCTCAGTACATGCATCTATTAAATTTTGCCTTTACATACATTGCTTGCATTTATCATACAAATATACGTGTACATACATACGTATTGGATCCTTGTTTGTACAACACTTGCAGCGAACCAAGTAGGCAATTAAAATAAAATATTTAATCTCGTGCGCATAATTAAGCAAATAAATTAAATACTTATATTTATTGGTGAAATTACTTAATTTCAGTTATTCGTAATTTTTTCCTCTGAAATCATTCTTCACTATTTGTTCCGCGGAATACTGCCATTTTCTAGGAACCGTTATTCAAATAAATTTTTTGATTACTGAGCTTGTAAGTTCGTAGTTTGTTGCGGAAAGAACAGAAATGAAAATGTCAGCTTTGAATTTATTCACTAGGTGTTCGGATCAAGTCGTTGAATTTAATGCGAACTTCGACGCAACTACTCTTAGCGAACACTCCAAAGTCTCATTGGAGATCATGAACGAGGAGCTCACCTAGCTGTGGGGCAAAGCTAATTAAAAGAAGAAGATGAGGTAGAGACAGTAAAAGCCAAGTATTCGGCCACTTTTAAAGATTATCTTTCTTGTAAAAGTTGCATTACAGAGTGTATGCGAAAATTCAGTGTCCCTTCACTTTCACCTCCACCCTATCCTTCCCAGGCAGCCATTTCTGCAAATAATTTGCAACTACCACCTTGCGATACGGAAGTTTTTAGGGGCGATTATTCATCTTGGCCAACATTTCGCGATCTTTTCACCGCAATATACGTTAATAACACGCGTTTAAGTTATGTAGAGAAATTATTTCACTTGCTTCGAAAAACAAGTGGGGAAGCCAAAGAAATAGTTAGCAAATCTCCGCTAACCAATCAAGGCTTTGATTTGGCATGGGCCAATCTCAAAGCCACCTTTGAAAATAAACGTGTGTTAGTCAATCGTCAACTTAAGTTGTTGTTTGCTTTACCAGTCATTCGGACTGAGAGCGCATCGGCATTTAAAAATATCCAAAGCAACATCAATGGGTGTTTAGCAGCATTAGCCATGTATGACATAGACGTATCCAACTGGGATCCGATTATTGTGTTTTTGTGCTCGAATCGACTTCCGGAAACCACCCTAAGTCTATGGGAGCAAACTCTTGTGGATAAAGCTGCCATTCCACTTTGGAGCCCAATGGATACCTTTCTTACACAGCGCTTCCGGACTTTGGAATCAATCACGGATGTTAGATGTCCATCGCCACCTTCAACGTCAACATATGCATTCCAACAACAACGGACAGCGCAACAACATCAGAACCCATCGGGCAGAAGAAATTTTCACACGCTACCAACATATCGTCTGCAACACAATGTATTTTATGCCCAAAGCAACAACATGTTTTGCGACTTTGCAAAAAATGTATAAGCCTTTCTGTTAGTGATGATATGCCACAATCAAAAAACACAACTTGTGCCTCAATTGCCTTTCAAGAGGCCATTCGGTAAAGGAGTGTAAAAGTAATTTTTCATGCACAATCAATGCTATTATTGATTCTGCATCGGAAGCAACGTTTATTTCGGAACGAGTGCGCAATCTTTTAAAGTTACCTTTTTCGAAGACCAATGCAACCATATCGGGATTAAATAAGAAGGTGTCTTCGTGTTCATTTAAATTATGCACATTCTTGTTAGGTTCTCCGCGCGATCTGAAGCTACCGCGTTTGTGTTACCACAGATTACCGGTAACTTACCGTCCACTTCCTTGCACAGATCCGTACTTGACCAATTGCCTAAGGAACCCTTAGCGGATCCTAACTTCTTACAAAGTGGTCCAATAGATCTTTTAATTGGGGGTGATTTGTACCCCAAAGTTATGATGGAGGGTGTGAAGCGGAGTCTTCATAATAACCTTTTATCCCAAGAAACTGCGTTCGGGTGGATTGTCACTGGGGCAACCTCCACTGCACACGTTTCTTGCTTTGCTACCAAAGTCTCAATGGGAGAGAATAGTTCCATAAGTAACCAAATTCAATAGTTCTGGGAATTAGAAGAGATCCTAAAGCGGCATATACAAAGCAAAGAAGACACGTTTTGTGAGGAGTTGTTGGTACAACGAGTACAAGGAATTCGGAAGGGAGATATGTTTTAGTACTACCCTTTAAAAATGAATATCCAAAGGATATAAAATTAGGATCTTCACGTCATATTGCCCTACGACAATTTGCACGCAATGAAATTAGATTACTTAAAAATATTTCCTTCAAGACTGATTATGACAACGTCATTAAAGAATACTTAGAGTTAGATCTATGGAAAGGGTAGATGAACCTCAGTTTCAGCATGCTCCATCCCACTTCTATCTGCCGCATCACGCGGTCCTAAAGCCCGAAAGCACTTCAACGAAGTTGAGGGTGGTCTTTAATGCTTCCAGCAAGACATCAAATGGGGTATGTGTTAACGACATATTACATACTGGGCCAGTTCTCCAAGCAGACTTAACGCTGCTACTTACACGATGGAGGACATACAAGTTCGTTTTTAATAGCGATATTCAAAAAATGTATCGCCAAATTTTGGTTCATCCTAGCCAAAGGCCTTGTCAAAGAATTTTATTTCGTAGTAACACCGATAATGATATAGTAGATTATCAGTTGAAGACGGTAACCTTCGGAGTTAACTGCGCTCCGTATCTTGCTATTAGGACCCTTTTCAGCTAGCCCAAGATTCTCAGGCCTCACATCCCCTTGCGGCTAGAATCCTGCAAAACTCGATGATACCTACAACAAACGCGAAGTGTTATAAATTATAGCCAAGCTTTTTGATCCAGCCGGTTGGTTAGCGCCTATAGTGGTGGTAGCGAAAATAATTATGCAGCAGATTTGGATAGATAACACTCCTTGGGATAAATCGTTAACTCCACAGACGCTTGCAAATGGAAGACTTTTGTTGAAAATTATCGTTTGTTAAAATTCCACGATGGGTAGAGTATACTGGTGAAACCCCTATACAAAATCATGCCTTTTGCGATGCGTCGGAAAAGGCATATCGGGGGTGATCTATTTGCGGGCTGAAAATAAAGGGATGGTCGCATCACATTTGCTGTTATCTAAAACAAAAGTGGCACCAATAAAAACTATTTCGCTTCCTCGGTTAGAGTTATGCGGAGCACTTTTAGCTGCCGACATGCTGAAGACCCTTTTGAAAGAACTTCCAGTCAAGGTCGAGAGTATATTTTGTTGTACTGATTCCACTACTGTGATCTCATGGTTTAAAAAACCACCCTGTACTTGGACAACTTTTGTAGCTAATCGTGTTGCAAAGATCCAGGAAATCATCGGACACCAGCACTGGTACCACGTGGAATCCAGGGATAATCCAGCAGATTTAGGTAGCCGCGGAATATATCCGCAAGATTTGGTCACAAATGATTTGTGTTGGCATGGGCCAAACTGTCTGAGGAAAGAGTTGTCATACTGGTCACCGTTGCATAAACAAATTGGTGATGTTTCCATTGAAGCTAAGAGGATAACCGCACATGCCTCACTGGTCACCAATGTTGAGGATCCTTGGGAAAGATTTTCTTCCTTCCCTCGCGCGTTGCGCGTCTTAGCATATGTATTTCGTTTCTTTTATAGGGCGAATAAGAGGATGGGTGATAGGCATTCGTTCTCGTCTTTATTAGTTTCAGGGAAAGAGATTGCAAAAGTTCGCAATCGTATTATAATGTTGTCTCTGAAAAAAATGGTTTCTTGAGGAATATGAGAAGTTATCGCTTGAGAGGCCTTTATCACAGAAGAGCAAAATCCTCAACCTAAATCCCTTTCTTGACGATCAAGGTATCATGAGGG